ATTTGTAATGTTAACTTGCTTGATTGTTACGTGATATGATTACTTGAATATGTGCTATGTTATGTTTGAAATTATCGATGAAAATGACATGTTAGTTGGTTGCATTGTATGCTTTAGCATCATAGATTAACATGTTGTTTATGAGTAAATTGTGATGATATTTGCATGGCATAGAATATTCATGAATTTATATGTAACTTACCTTGCATGTTTGACATTATCATTATAATTCCTGCTACTGAGATTTTTATAAAATCTTATTCTTCTCAATGTATAAACAATCAACAGGAACCTTAAATGATGTGACCAAAGGCAAGGAGATGGTATTTCCATGAAGGAAATGTGTTATGGAATTATATTGAATTTATGATGAACCTTATGTATACGGTTTGTAATTTTTATGAATTGTTATATATTATGGTGGATTATGTTGGAATATCGTATTAATGATTTAGGATGTTCTATGTGTGAGCATTTGATTAAGGAATCACGTTTAAATATAGGTTATGTGGAAAGAAAAGAAAAGAAAAGGCAAGAATTGCATATAGAGAGGATAAAAGTTGACTTTTTTATGGTGAAGTTTGGCCAACAAAATTTTATGCAATTAGATGAGTCTTGAGTTGAAATTTAGCAGACTTATAGATCTAATTTTTAGCTTTAAAACCAGTGTATTTTATCAAATTTGGAATTTTGTACAAAAAGTCATGTCTTTCTAAAGTTGGGCATAAATTCTGAAAAATTAAAAAATGACCATATGAATAGTAGTCCTTTGAACAAAATCTGGGATTGATGGATAAGTTCTGGATGCCAATGAGTATTTTTCCTTTAAAGAGCATGTTAAAATCTTTTTATAGACTTAGAACCATCTCATTTCAATTTTTCTGCAATTAGTTATGAATTTTCAAAGTTTGGCTTTTATAAGGGTTATAATGAACAGTAACTCGAATTCAAGAAAATTTAAGGTTCAGATTTTTCCAACTTAAAGCCATAAGAGATGATTCCAAATGGTTCTAAATGAGATAAAATGAGGTTTAAAAGTAAGGTATGACAGATTTTATGAAGTTCTTCCGCCATCAAAAGGGCAATTTGAAACAAATATTAAAGAAAAGTATAAGTAGAATATATTTGACTTTTGATTGTTGGACCTCTGTGACTTCTGAAGGATATATATGTTTGACAGCTCATTTTGTGGATGAAAAGTGGATTATAAATAGTAAGATACTTTCATATTGTAAGATGGAACTTCCATATTTTATGGTATAATTGTCTAAAAAAGTGCATAATTGCTTAGGAGAATGGGGGATTGAGAATAAAGTAAATAGGGGATTGAGAATAGAGTATTCTCAGTTACTTTAGATAATACATCTACAAATGATAACACGCAAGATTTGCTAAAGGAGAAGTTACTTTTGCAAGAAAACTTTAGCTTGATTTGTAATGGTGAATTTTTTCATATAAGATATTGTGCCCACATCCTAAACTTGATAGTTCAGGAAGTTTTGAAAGTGACAAGTACTGCTTTGTGGAAGATTAGAGAGAGTATTAAATGGTTGAAGGCATTTGAGCCAATTCAAGCAATGTGTTGAGCAAGTTGGTTGGGAACCTATTCAGCCATGTATAGTCTAAGGGGTTAGAGATTGTTTCAGTTTAATCTGATGATTCCAATGAGTTTAGAATGTGTTTTTGCATGGAAATATACCAAGAAAAATTGTTTAAAAGCATTAGAATAAAAAATGAAAATTCTAACCCTAAACCACATACTATTCAGCCAAGCTCATTGTAATAGTTGGATTTTACATGAAAAATTATGTAAGAATGGCCCTTGAGACTTGTCAAAACAAAGATGAAAATTAAATTCAAAAAGTCAAAGAAAAGAAGGTTATAGAGTTAGCTTGACACTTCATGGCATTTTATGTGTTATGGTTGGTAATATGGCATGTATTTATATATGGATTGATAGGCATTGAGCAATAGAATAAAGAGGAACTCAAAGGGGCCTAAGAGGCCAAAACTTTGAATTAGAAAGAGATAGCATGGAATTTACAATTTTAATGTTAACTTGCTTGATTGTTATATAATATGATTCCTTGAATATATGCCATGTTGCATTTGAAATTATTTGATGATGATGACTTGTTGGTTGGTTACATTGTATGCCTTGGCAATATGCAATGACGTATTAATTTTGAATGGATTGGAATAATACTTACATGACATAAAAATAAGTAAATGTTTATGAACTTATTTGTAATATACTTTGCTTGTTTAACATTATTATTGTAATTTCTTTGTTACTAAGATTTCTATGAAATCTCATTTCTCTTTATGTTTAAACAACATCATTAGGACACTTAAGTGGTATGGCCAAGGGCGAGGAGGTGATAACTCTATGAAGGAAAAATGCCAGGGAATTATATTGAATTTGAGGCAGAAATTTGTTGTAATTGTGGAATCATTATCTTGATGACCTTTAAAGATTGTAAATTATGAAGAATTACTTGTTAAGTGCTATGATATATAGCTGAATCATATTGAAATGGTTGTGGTTTTATTTTGACAAGTTTTGCAAAAAAGAAATAAAAGCTTACTTATTTATGGTGAAAGTTTGACCATACGAAATTTTGAACAAATGATGAAGTTTGGATTTGAAACTTAACAGTCTAATAAATCATATTTTTATCTTTAAAATGAGTGATATTTCATAAAATTTGAAGTTTTGTACAAAAAGTTATGCCATTTTAAAATTGGACATAAATTCTGAAAAATTGAAAAAATTACCAAATGAACAGTATATCTTAATGTTGAAACTGGGCGCATATAAGCTAGATTCATACTCTGAATGTATTTTTTTCCTTAAAAAGCTCATGGCAAGCTTCAAGTAGGATTTGGAACCATACCATTTTAATTTTTTTGAAATTAGTTATGATTTTTCAAAATTTAGAAAAATTAGGTTTACAATGAATAGTAACCCAAGAAATTAAGTTTAAAAAATTCAAACTTTTCCAACCTAATGACTTGAAAAATAGTTCTAAATACTCCCACTTTATATAAAGTTAGAGAATAAAGTAAGGTGTGACATCGAGAGCAAGCTAGATGCTATTTTTAAAGAATATTCCACTATAGGGACATCAATCACATCATTTGCTAAACATAGAGTTGCCAATGTTCAACTTCTAAATCTTCATCATTTACAAGTCATCATTCTTCTCACATTTCAAGTGCTTCAACAACAATCTCTTTTGATAATGCCTTCGATGTATGTTTTATTTTGTTAATTAAATTTGTTCCATATTTAGCTTGTATTTAATTCAATTTTTGAATGATGCAGGATTATCAAGATATCTACGTGATCATGGATCATTCTTCTGTAGACAAGTCTAAATTAGAAACTTATTTAAAAGAATTAATACTAAAACCTGATAATTGGAAAGATTTGGATGTCTTGAATTGGTGGAAAAACAATCAACTTCGATTTCCAATTTGCTAGTGAATTAGTTTTTAGCATTGGTTCATATGTTTTCACAAAGTATAGAAGTTCTATCCTTCCTGCTAATCTTCAGGCTCTTATTTTTGCTCACAATAGGTTGCATGGATTTGCATATCAAGGTAATTTATATGTATTTTTTTTATAGTTCTTTTTATGCTTTTAATTGCTCAAACTGACAAACATGATAAATATACTGCTTGTTTATGATTTTGGTTTATTATTTGTTGTAGAGAATGCTTGTTATATTGATGAAGAAGAAGAAACCATTGATATTTTTAGAAGTCAAGAAGACCCTATTACCAGCGAAGCACAGTAAAATGTCCTTGCAATTGATGACAGTGATGATGAAGTTTTAAAACATTGATGATAGTGTCTATCCACGTTTTTTTTTGTGAAAGTGTTTGTCTACTTTTGATGGAACTTTTGAATGTTATTGACTTGTTATAGATGTTTGAGATATTTTGGTATGTTGATGCCTTGATGGACATGAAGATTTGATGATGTATTGTATTTTAGACTTAATTTATTTATATTTATGCCTTTTGATGTTTATTTTTTTGATAAAATATATGAGAAATATAAAAAATTAATATTTTTTTTAAATAGACTAAAAGCCTGCGGGCCGACCTAAATCCGTCAATTTAAAGGCCGGGCTTGACAAATCAAGGTGTTTTTTTTTTTTTAAGTTTCAGCCTTGTAAGGCTAGCCTTTTTAAGCCCGCTAGCCCAAATTCTCAGCTTTAGGGTTGGCTTACTAATTTTTAAAAATATATTAGTGTTTTTTAAAACACATAGTTAAAAATAAATTACTAAATAAGTTTTTTATTTATATTTTGATTTTTATAATAAATATAATTTTCTCTGGATTTTCTAAAACAATTTCTTTTATATTTCGTGCCGACACGCCTGCCAGCTGACTGCTGAGTAGGCAAAGGACGCCGTTGTCATCGTTCAGCGGTCCGCGCCGTAATCAATTAATTTATCAGTTAACGGCAAAATAAAATTGTCCAAATAAATGCCTCGCGCTGCCTGATCTATGGATAATTATATACAACTGCGTGAGAAATTGAGAGAGGAAGAAAGTGATAGAAACCGAAGGAAACGAAAAGAAAATTCCCTAATCAAGACAAACAACCTGCCTCCCCGTTCTTCGCTCTCCAGTCCCCTATCTCTGATTCTCTAGCTCCGTCCCTCCCTCCCTCTCCCACTTCTTTCTTTCTTTCTGTGTTTTGTCACCTTGAGCAAACCAGGTTACTCATTGATGTGGGATCTCTATCTCTCGACCACTTGCATTGTGTCTGAATGGCAGTTCTCGGCTTTCTTTGTATTTTTCTCTGTTGATGGATTTTGACTAGCATTATACCATATCCACTCCTAAGCTACACTTCAATCAGATCCTTCTGCAACTAGACCAGTACATCTCTCACTTCCTCTTTTAACTTTCATTATTTCTCTTTTCAAATGCTGCTTTCTCACTCTGGGTTTATCTTCCTTTTCTTTTTGGTTTTTTCAAGGTCTTGATCCACAATGACGCCGAAGAGAGGGCTATTCGTCAGCAGAAATAGAAGCAAGGGATCCCCTTTCCCTCTTCTGGTTTTCATTTTTCTTTGTCTTCTTGCGCCCTTGATTTTCTTTGCCAGAGTGCTTTTTACTGCGGGTTAGTTCTCGATTCTGTGATTCTTGAGTATTTTCTCTCTCCCACTCTAGGATATAATACAAACCAAACGTTGATTTGCAGACCTCCGGAAGAAAATGGTGATTGCGTGATGTTTAATTAAGTGGATGTGATTGGTTTTTGGTTGATATTCACTTGTTCTTTCTTGTTTGGTAAGGATGTCTTTTCGTAGCTCTACGATACTTCCTCGTTTGACTGGTTAGGAAACGAATTCCAGGTTGAGTCTTTGATATTGCTGTCTTATCTGTGTGCATATTTAGATTTAGATATTTGTTACTCCCTATCAGTTCCATGGCGGCAATAAGATAAGGAAAGGGTTATTTGTTTGATAATTGCGGTCGCAAGATTTATGCTCAAGGGAGTGCGCTTCAGTTTTGCAACTTGTGGGAGTAGAAAGATTATTTAGTGCTAACCACGAGGCTTAGCATAGTTGCTTCAAGGGTTCGATCCAGGCGGTGTGTATGGAGAGGGTCTCTTGGCCAGTACTAAAGCCCCATTGGGAAGTCTACAGTGTAAAGGATTAGTCACTGCCACCAGCAGGTGGATACCTCAACCAAAAAAAAAAGGAAAAAAAAAAAAAGAAGAGAAAAGAAAGATCATCTAGTGCTGCTGCAAATTATTGATTGTATGATATTGATAGTATGATGTCGCAGTTTTTATGGGTGCTTGCTTGTAGTTGATAGCGGTATGGTTAATATAGGTATTATGTTTCGAAGCTCAGAAAATTTCAACCACAATTGGATTACGTTTACGTTAGGAGAGTGGCCAACAAAAAATAGGAACATTTTAGGAGAACAGAACATCAAAGCTGCTGGGTCTGGTGGTCCTAAGAGAGCGCCTCAAAGAGGGCAAGGGTATACAGTTATTACATAACTGTTAGCATATTCTAGATATTGAAAGTGAGCAATAACTGTCTTACAGAAATTTATGGAGACTGTTACTTGTTTGCGCTTTTGTCAGATAAGCCACTGGGCTCAGTGAAATTAGCGAACAGAGGAAATGTAGTGTGGTTACAGTGTCAAAGGAGATATATTTGACATTATAATGCAGAAAACTCATTAAAGAAGGCAATGGCCTCAAGTTCTACATCACAAAATCTTGTTATGAGATGGTTGATAAGGTAATAGGGGAATGGCAAGTAATCTAGGTCGTTTAAATGTTGATATCATCTATGTTGAGGATGATAGTAATCTTCGAAATTTCTTGACAATTTTTGCCAATCTAATCTTTGATTTCTTCTTTTATTAGGTGTTGAGAATATTAGTCATAATCATTTGAATATTCTTTTGTCTTAGATGTTTCTCTTGCTTTGCCTATGCTTGTTCATTGCACATATTTTGGTGAAGGAGTTTTTCTTAGCATCTTTTTAACCATTGCATTTACTTACCAAGGCACTCATCTTTCATTAATAAAAGCAAAATTCCACAGGTTATGCACTGCATAAAAGCAGTATCTTTCTAGAATCAATTATTTTTTGGAGAAGTTAGATGATCCACAAATTTTTTAGACTATGAAGCATGGGTGAAATTTCAAGCTCTGCTTGGGCGGTCTACAAATTAGTTGAGTGCGCCTTGTGTTTGGCAAAACACATACAATGTATCTATCTAACCTCAGAGGCAGTGCACTTTCAGACCCTGGCCTCTTGAGTATTGTTAACATTGCGAATCCTTTCAGATAATCTCTTGCTCAGAATGCTGGTTCCATTTCTTAGCCTTAGCAAATTGTGTTACTCTGGTGAGGGAGGGCAGTGATCCTCAGAATGAGTAAATTTGAAAGGAGAATATGCCATTGTTGTCATAAATGAAATGATGAGTGGAGTTAAAATTTGATGGCTGATATTTTGTGTGTGGATGAGAGGAGGATGGACTAAGAGAAGCGTGAAGAAATTTCAAGAAAATGGCATCGACTTAAATGAGGAAAAGGAAAAGAAAGAGGGTGAATGAGATGAGTAAACAGGTATAAGTGACTCTAATATGATATTTAAAAGCATTATTGAAAATGTTTACAAGCAACAGCTGTGGTGGCGATATCTTTTGGCGAAGTTTGTGGAAAGCAGATAGTGCAGGAATTGAAAAATAAGTTATTCTAATGGTATAAATTTTTTTTCTTAAAAAAATTCATAGAAATCTTCATTGCTGAAGATAGTGATAATGCAGTGATGTTTATTTCCTATACTATTATTTTACTGGTTTTTTACATGCTGCAGAATGTATATGTCTCTCTCTGTTTTTTTTTTTTTTCCCTTTAAAGGTTATTTAGCTGCACCACTACGTGTATTTAGAAAAGATAATTGATACAGTAGTTTTATCTTTATCTGTATGACTTGGTAGAGGTGGCTTGCTCAGGCATAGGTTATTGGAAAATAAACTGAGTGAGACCGGTTTTATGAAGAAAGAAGCCTTGGCTTTGGTTTGAACTTTGTCTTTCTCAAAATAACAAGCTTGGGCATGTTAGGGATTGACTCAGCTTCGTTCAATCCTAAGTGCAACAAAGGGTTCTGATAGTGACATTGCAGTCTAAAAGGAAAGGAAGGAAAGGGCTGTTATCATGTCAATGAATTGAACAAATTCATAAAAATTGTCAATTATTTGAAAACTTGAGCACCTTTATTGTGGTTCAATCCTCATCTTACAGAGGAGCTGATAGAATACTGATTATTGTAGGATAATGGGTGAGTTGGGGGGTTATAGAAATGTTGGGAATAAATATTTCTTTAAATTATTTTGGATATTTTCTATTTTATTTAGGTTATTTTTCTGATTTCTTGAGTATTCCTCAAGTTTAAGAGTAGTGGGTTATGATACTTACGAATTAAGTCAATAATTTTATTTATTTTTAGGGCTGAGTTGTGGATTAATGGGGTAGTTTTAGGAACAATTTTAGGAGTCATTAGTTATTTTTCTCTCTATAAATTTTTAAGTATTACCTCATGTAGAAATCTTCTGGAAATAAAATTAGTATTTCTTTTATGAGTGGAGATTCTCCTTAGGCTTTATTAGTTATTCTTACCCATTCTAATGAAGATTTTCCTTCATCTTTACTAATTTGTGAAATTAGATTCTGATTTCATAATTTAATACGAGTTTTTCTTTCTTATTTTTCTCCACTGATTTTGGATCCTATTAGGAGCTTGTGCTATGTTAACAATTGAAGTGTCAGGGAATTGCGCTTGAACCATCAACCAAAGCACCATATGAAAGACCATGATGGTTGAGACCTGTAGAGAGGACCAGCTTGCATTAATCTTGAGCCAAAAAAAGATAAAAATAAAAAGCTACATGTTATAATTGTAAAGAGCTTGGCAATATGGATTCGGGTTGTAACCTCTTTGTCAACTTGATTTTGTGTGAAAGACCTGCTTGATGTACAAGCTGTAACACTTTAGTTTACAACCATATATAGAGTCAAAACGTGTAAAATGAAATCACATTACATAGCATTAGGCTTAGAAAATCGAACTTTGAAAAATCACTTTCTTTGGTTACTATTCATTTGGTAACCCTAAAATTTTAGCTAGTTTTGAAAATTCATAACTAATTCTAAAAAAGTTGAAGTGAGGTGGTTCCAAGTTTTATTTGAAGTTCTTTCATTCTTTACATGAGAAAAATACTCGCTGGTCAATTATTTTCATCAATCAGGCTCCATTTTTCGTGTAAAAAGCACTGTTCATTTGGTTAATTTTTAATTTTCAGCTTTTTATGATAATTTCAAAAATTCATAACTTTTAACACATAACTTAAAGTTAGGTGATCCACCACTCCATTTGGAGCTTTGGATGTGTACTTTGAACTCACCAAATCTCATGGCCAGATTCCATTATTTGTTTAGAAAAGTCGCAGTCCCACAATCATGGTTTTTCAAGTAATTTGACCCTTTTTAATTCCATTAGTTTATGAAATTCAACCCATGATCTTCATATTTATCAACTACCATTCATGCTATAATGTACTTGAGCATAGTAGTATCTCCCAAAGGGTGGGAGCATCATCCTATACAAGCTTCATCAAAATTTATACAAATTACATAACTCTTAAAGTCCATAATAACAAAATATAATCAAGCAAACTTATACATGACATTGCATGCAACTATCCTCATGCTTCCAAATTCTTTCCTTTATCCTTTGATGAGCCAGCTCCTAAGGTGTCAACTTGTTGTAAAGAAGGGTGAGATTTCAAAGAAATCATAATAGCAAAGAACAATAATTATAACGCTAACAATGTAGAGTTATATAATGCTATATGTGAATCAACATTTTCATGCATTCTCGTACGTTATCATACCATGGAAAGGGAGCATGTAAATCTACCATTGAGAAACTCAACTATACATATTGCCAAGTTATAAATGTTACAAGTCAAGCACATCATAACATAGCAAGCTCAACCTCATCATGGCATAAACATCTAGCAAAACAATTAATGCAAGTTAACACTAAAATTGTAAGTTCTTGCCACCAGGCTCAAGCCCTTGGTTTTTGCTCTCTTCTCTTTGTTCTTGAGTCTCCTCTTGCTCAAGATCAATGCCTATCAATCACACAATAAGGGCATTTTGAGTTTCATCTCAAACAACTTTATTAAAAACTTAATCTTAAACTTTAACCTTTTTTGATTGATTTAAGGGTTTTTGTATAATCTTTCTTAACATAATTTTGATATGTTTTTCCCACATGTTTTTAATGTAAAATCTATATTTGAACTTAGATTCATCAAAATCCAACTCCTTTCCTAGGATTCAAGCTTGGCCAAGACATAGGGTTTTAGGATTCAAAAATTCCATTTTCAATTTAAATGCTTCCAAATATATTTTTCAACATATGCCTACACAATTTCATCTTCTAAGTTCATTGGAAGCATCAAATTAACATGAGTCAAACTCTAATGTTATGAACTCATGTTGGCCTAACCACACACTCCAGGGTTACAATTTGAAATTCTTCCATAAACTAAGTTACAGCGTGATTTTCCAATTATTTTCAATCCTTTGGTCCCTATGTCATCTTTTAATCATTCATAACAAGTTATATGACATTTTGGGTAGCATGGTATCATAGGGTCTTGAGCCATTTTTCTCCATCTAAATCAATTCCAAATCAACCACTAATCAAGGTAATTAAATTCTTAATGAAAGTCTTAACTTACCTTGGATGATTGCTTGAAGTTAGCTTAATTTCGTCCTTCCTCTTTCTCTTCCTTTTCTTCAAATCAAGAGCAAAACCTTCCATTCCTAATTTTCCAATTTGACAAATTTTGGCTTGGGTTTCCTATTTTGCCCCTGGTAAAATGTTACAATTCTAATGGCCACTTGTCCTATGATCAAGTCTTCCCCTCGACAATCATGCCACGTTATGCCACCTATTATCCATATGGTTATAAAACAATATTTTATTATAATTTAACCTCTTCTAATTATGCCCCTAAAGAAATGACACAATTCCATCCATGTCCTCTTCATAAATGGTGCCAAAAATGGTAGGAAAATGTGAGGAAAAGTTGTCCCACCAAACTTTGGGTTATTCCATTGTATAATCTCATCATATTGGTTAAATTTTTCCTAGATCTTGTCTAATCCAGTAGCTTAAAAATTCATTTTTCTATGCCATTGATTTCCTTTTATTGAGAAGTTTCCCAATTTTTTTAGGTCAAAATTTGACCTATAAATTCTTCCACTCAAAATTTTCCCGAAATTGGTCTTCTACTAACATAATTTAGCTTTAAATATTTTTAAAGTTAATCTCTGCACTTTTAGAGGTCGGGGATATATTACAATCTATTATAAACTCTCAACTAAATTTCCCTCATTTTTGTTTGGATAATTGATGCCTTTGTATATTTAAAATAATTCATTTTGGCCATATACCCCTGATTATCCAAACATATTGATAATTACAGAAAATTCTGTAATAAATTATTTTCATCCTGTTTTCACCATTTGGGCTTCAAATATTGTTCTAGACATTTTTTCTATTTTTCATGAATTTCTAAGAATTTTAGGAATTTTAGGCATAGTTTACAATACTGCCCTTCCTTGACCTGCAGTTTTCAAAATGATAATTCGATCACTGTTCTGGTTTCATTTTAAAAGTTTTTTTGTCTCTATCCTTACTATATTGCCTGGCCCTTGGTTAGTTTTAAATTCCTTATTTACCATGTTAAAATTAACTGGATATGATGCAAGCTTTACTTGCTTTGTAACTCACAATAGCCATTGAGCTGTTGTTTCTCCAAAGACAGCCAATTGATGGAATTCATGGTTATAAGGGCTGCCTGGTCTTATATTGAATAGTGTGGAAAGCTCTAGGGACACTTAAGTGGATTGGTTCTAATTTGCTTGAGTGGCTCTCAATTGAAGTATCTAGGCTCTTTTTTGAGACAGATTTTGCTATATTTCATTGAGTTTATTTTTTATAATTGAGTAATTTGGAGCATGAAAGAAATACCATGATCATAGTTTAATATAATCGCTGGTAATTTGAAGATTTTTATGCATGGGTTTGTGACTTAATGAATTGCAAGCACTGCAATTGTGTACTAAGCGTATATTTATGTGGTGAATGATTGTAATGGTTTGTCGTTCTCTTTTCAATGAGTAAGAGTTTCAAAGCTTCTTTTTCCCTCGTTCTTTTGACAGGGGAGCTTTATAACAGTATCTTGATAGAACTATCTTATTAGTAAAATGGAAAGATTGAGGTCATACACGTACACATGCTCGCACCAATGTTTTAATCACTGGACCGAAAGTCAAACCGAAGAGACTAGTAGGTTATGGTTCAAACGGTTGGATGGGTCAGACCAGTGATGCAGTAATTAAAGAAAAAAAATTATGTACATATAATTAATGTGTATAAAATAAATTTATAATAAGTATGATAATTATTAATATAATGATATCTCAATAAAAAATTAAAATAAAAATGAAGATATGTTAAAAACTTATAAAATTTTGTTGACCTCTTTTCCTTCATTTTGTTATATATAACAGTAAGTTAATAACGTCTATTTTTATTTACAAAAAGTATAAATATTTGAATAAATTAATTTATAAATTTACAGTGTGATCCGTTAATCCATTGGAAAAAAAAGGCAAAATGAAAAAAGAGTTTTTTTTTCCCTGCTTTATTCTTTATTTCTTTTCAATTTTTGAGATGCTTTAGTGCTTTTTGACTTTCCATGTATGTTTTTGGGGATTGTATTTATTTCTTAGTATTTCAAGACGCCTCTTCCTTTTAACCATTGGATTAGAACTATTGGGTAACATCCTGCAGCCATCGACATATTTTCAGTCAAAAATATTGTAAACCCCAACCATTCACTTCAGTTTCGGCGACCTCAAGATCCACCTTCGACTATTCTTTATGTCTTGCGCTTTTGGTGCAGATTTTTTTCATTTTGCTGGTATCTACTATTTTCAAGGATAAATCTGGGTTTGTGACTGAGGCTAACTAGATTTGAGTGAGTTATTTGTCATAATCTAAACTCTATTTTCTCATATAGCCTTCTAAATATTTTTATTTTTCCTTAACTCTTCATCTTCTTCACCTTCTTCCATATGATGATGGTGTAGCATTCCTTCTTCTTGAAAAATTGCCTCAGGTTTTGGTTTAACTCCGGCTCTCGGCTAAATGACCGGCTGGGAGCAGTCCAAAACGGCCTAATTGATTAAGCTGTCAAACCATGAAAAACGGGCTGGAGAACTCTCTGGTCACCTGCTAGGCCGTTCCAACCATCCGGTCCGGTTTTTAAATCATTGGCTCACACACATTAATTGGCTTCTTAGGATCTCCCTTTCTGGCATAGTTTCTCAACTACTCACTACACAATCCTAATATGCTATAGGCTATAGTATTTTAAGACTTAATTTGTCAGTTTTTTTAACTCCATCTGTGTTTTTTGCTGGTGGTCTTGATGATGTTCTTTTGGGCATGATGTTTATGTTATGCTTATCTGTAGATGTGCTTCGTAATGTCATGAAGCTTTGTGAGTTCTCATTCCCTGTTGTCACTTCTTAGTGACTGTTGATATGTAAGAACTAGATTGGAGTTGAAAGTCCTTGACTGAGATTAGAGGTGCTGTTTGGTATGAAACATTGAAATTGAGAAAACTTATTAAAAGAGTGTTTAACATGAGAGATTGTTTGTTACATGGGATTAACCAAACCCATATATGTGGGATTGGGAAATACTATGGAGAGAGGTAGTATTATCTAATCCCATATCTATGGGTTTTTCTAATCCCATATGCCAAATAATTTCTCGTACTAAATATCATTTGGGATTAACCACTATTTGGGGTTAGACAAGCCCATAGATGTGGGATTGGGAAATACCATGGAGAGAGGTAGTATTACCCAATCCCACATCTATGGGTTTGTCTAATGCCATATATCAAATAATTTCTTATACTAAATACTATTTTAATAATTTTTCTCAACTGCAATCGCAGTCCCTATTCTTTATTTTTAATGCTCCGTACCAAAAGGGACCATAGTTTTCTTGAAATACCTTATTGTTTCATCTTCTCAAGTTCTAACTACCTGAAAGACATAAGAAAAATCCTTATTAACTCCGGCTTGCTTTTCTTCCTATATGCATATGTTTATAAGATCAGGACTTGTTAAGTTTTTCTCCCCCCCATAATATAAATGCTTTGTGCAGGTCAAAATGGCATTTCAAATGTTCCGAGCAAACAGGTATCCTGGTTTATGCGTTCCCAGCGTTAGTGGTTGTATCTAATAGCCTCTTGATGGAGCCTCTATCTGTTTTCATTTGTAAATCTTAGAGAGTTGTTGAATGCTGCAGGCTTCCAAATGGAGAGAATGGCAGGCGTTGCATGACCTCAGATCACTTTTTTCAAAAGAGGTACTTACAGGCTGTTGTAGATTTACTTTTAAACCATAGCTTTTCATTTTTTTTGTGGTGGTTGTTGTTTACATCTTACTTTCTGGCATTTTAATCAATATTTCCTTTTAGGTTCTTGACATAATTGATGCCAGCACAAATGATACGGGGCCATTAAATCTTAATAACTATAGAAAAAGCAATTTTTCTGCTTCCTGGAGAGTTGTTGAGTTGGAGAATTCAAATACGGCATTTCAGGTGAGAGGATTGATGTTCCCATGGTAGATATTTATTCTTAATGTTATACCTTCATTTCTGCAGAAATAAACTATTGTTATGTTGTTGCTAACCCCTTTTGATGTTCTCGTACTTTTTATTAAAAACTAAACCAGCCAACACTGCATAGTAGACAAGGAAACCTGAAGGTTGAGCAGGGAACTGATAGTCCTGCACAGCAAGCACGAAGGGTGAGTGTCTATTTGATTATTTTTTGGGGTCAGTTCTTTTGGGAATTAGGAGCAGTACTGTGAACTTGAAAATGAATGTGATAATTTTTTTTTTAATACTCTTTGCTAATCCCATGTACAGCAATTGATTGATAAAAGGCGTGGAAAGCGTGCTGCTGAGCTGGTTAAACAGGATAATGAAGTACTTGTAAAACTTGAAAATGCAGCTATTGAACGCTCTAACTCAGTTGATTCAGCAGTTCTGGGTAAATATAGCATTTGGAGGAAAGAAATGGATAATGAAAATTCTGACTCTACTGTACGGTTGATGCGGGACCAGATGATTATGGCTAAGGTGTACTTAAGCATTGCAAAGATGAAAAACAATCAGGAACTATATCGAAAATTGCAGTCTGAACTTAAAGATAGTCATCATGCTTTGGGCGAGGCAGCATCTGATGCTGACCTGCATCGCAGGTAGTGCACTATCTGGCTGTGTAATTTTCTATTAAGTTTATATCTTGTATCGGCATTTCCATGTCTTCTTTCACTGGTATATCTGACTAGTCTTGACTAATCGACAATTTTAAAACATTTCAAGCGTGCATGAAAAAATTAGGGCTATGGGCCAACTACTATCAAAAGCAAAAGGGCATTTGTATGACTGCAAGTTGATCACTGGAAAATTGAGGGCAATGCTAGTAACCGCTGATGAGCAAGTTAGGAGCTTGAAGAAACAGAGCACTTTCCTCAGTCAGTTGGCCGCCAAGACCATTCCTAATGGAATTCATTGCTTATCCTTGCAGCTTTCCATAGATTACTACCTCCTTCCTCCAGAAAAGAGAAATTTTCCTAAAAGCGAGAATTTGGAAAATCCAAATCTCTATCATTATGCTCTTTTCTCTGACAATGTGTTGGCTGCATCTGTTGTTGTTAACTCAACCATTAAGAATGCCAAGGTGACTCAGGCTGCTTTTTTCTGTATCGGCATGTGTGCATGTGTCTTTCATGTGTGTTTTCTTTACTTTCTAGATGCCCATTTTTATGTCTGGGCAGCAGGACCAAAAAATCATATTATCTAACTTTGCCTTCATTTTTTTATATTTGATATTGTAGGATCCTTCAAAGCACGTTTTCCACCTTGTTACTGATAGGCTGAACTACGCAGCCATGAACATGTGGTTTCTGTTAAACCCTCCTGGCAAAGCTACGATACATGTTGAAAATGTTGATCGATTTCAGTGGCTAAATTCATCCTACTGCCCTGTATTGCGGCAACTTGAATCTGCTAGCATGAAAGAGTATTATTTCAAGGCAGGCCATCCTAATACACTTTCTTCTAGTTCTTCTAATCTGAAGTATAGGAACCCAAAATACCTCTCCATGCTCAACCATCTAAGATTCTATCTCACTCAAGTGTATCCAAAATTGGATAAGATCCTTTTTCTTGACGATGACATTGTTGTTCAGAAGGATTTGACTGGGTTGTGGGATGTGGATCTTAATGGGAAAGTGAATGGTGCAGTTGAAACATGTGGTCAGAGCTTTCACCGATTTGACAAGTATCTGAACTTTACTAATCCGCATATTGCCAGAAATTTTGATCCAAATGCTTGCGGTTGGGCATATGGGATGAATATTTTTGATCTAAAGGAGTGGAAGAGAAAAGACATCACTGGCATTTATCACAAGTGGCAGAATATGGTGAGCAGTCCAATCTTACATGGTTTACAATTTACAGCATTCCATCTTCTCAGACAAGTTAACTTGAACAAATGACATGACTGGTCTTTCTCTGACCATCTCTTTTTGTTTTGTTTTGTGTTTTTTGTTTTGTTTTGTTTTTTCTTTTTTCTTTTTTGGTTTCTGTCCAGAATGAAGATAGGTCGCTTTGGAAGCTGGGGACTTTACCTCCTGGCCTAATAACATTTTATGGGCTGATACATCCCCTACATAAATCATGGCATGTACTTGGTTTGGGTTACAATCCAAGTGTAGATCGATCAGAGATTGAGAATGCTGCGGTCATTCACTATAATGGTAATATGAAGCCATGGTTAGAGATTGCCATGACCAAGTATCGCTCTTACTGGACCAAATATGTCAAGTACGATCATCCTTATCTGCAAAACTGCGAGGTGAGTGAATGACCCTGCTAAGAAGTCTACAGAAACTACTCTTTTAACAGCCCTAGGGTGGCTTATATCAATGTCAACTGAAAAAGCCCTGCCAGAATGATCAAGTGTCTTGGAAGGGACAGGATCTATCCCATCTTCTGTATTTGCACCAAATCATTTCTTTTCCACATCATTGATTTTTGTTTCCTATTCATTTGATTTGTTCAAACCTATCCCCGCTACATTTGAACTAGGTAAATAATTAGTATACCTTGTTGACTATAAAATCCTTGTCTTGTACAATACCCTGAAGCTAAGGACAGGAGTAGAAATCGAGTGTATTGTCTGCATTCTTTTAATATAGCTTGCTTGAATACCTGAATCTATTGCGGCGGGGCTAATTTTCTACACTTCCTTGCGTACCGGTTTTGCGGCTTGTCTGAGTGCTTTTTGGTGGCTGTTTTATATTGTTGAAATCTGAAGCAGGTGAAATTGGACCGGACGTAAAACCTACGTTTTCTAATAAGGTCCCAAAAATTGCGTTTCACTGAACTAGGCTTTAATAATATTTTAGCTATCAAGTCCAAAATTTGACGCAGGCGATGATAGCCATTTTTTTTGATAAAATGATCAAAATGATATTAAAATACTATGTAAGCGGTAAATATCAGACGCAAGAAGAACAACGATTAAGAAATTTAACAAGTTCTAGAGGAAAAATTTTAAGAAATACTATTCTAACATCTACAAAAGCCTTCAAGCCTTTAATAGCTGAGTCAGATTCTGCTTAAATTGATGAAGATGCATTTGTCTTTCAAGTGCCCAGGTATGAAGAGAAGCCATTGTAGGGGAGAATGGAGATGAATGAACGATCTAACAAATACCGACTCCCAAACATTTGAGGATAAAGGTAGAATCACCTTAGAACTTCTAAGTGAAGCATTGGATAGGTTGACCCTCAACATAACCAGAGATGACAAATAGATAACTGACCCATGTTTGAAACGATGAAGAGTAATGGTCCAGCGAGTAAGATTGGAATGGAATTGAGAATGGGGAGACAAGTGGTGAGGACTCTGCTATTTAGATTGCGGATTAGAATTAAATGCCATTTGACACGAGAGGATTTAACCTCTTAAGCAACCAAAAGAGGATTAGGATATTTCCCTTCATGCAACACAGCATTGCGATTCTCCATATTAGATTTAATAAAATGATAATACCTTTCAGAGTGTGGCCATCTTTATGGAACTCAACCAAAGTGACTTTTAACCAATGAAGAAAAGTGTGGGAATTCTGATTAGTAAATATGATATTGAAACATTCAAACCATACTGCTCGCGGAAAGGACAAGTACAAATTAGGTGTCCAAGAGTCTCCTCACCTTGATAACCAAATAAAGATTGCCCAGAAACATTCAAATGATGCAGATGGAGGATACCACAAGAAGGCAAAGTACAATGAAGTGATTTCCATGTAAGCAACAGATATTTAACTGAAAGAGAAATAGATCATAAGAGTTTCCAAAAGGGGTCGTTTATCCTAGAGAACTGAGATTGGCAAAGGGAGAAACCATCTTTGACAGAATATGCGTCCACCTTGTTTCCATTCCATATGATTTGATCAGGAATATTGATAAAGCATAAAGGAATCCTTAAAATGACATGTGCAGTAGAAAAAGGATAAATAGATTTTACCAATGAAACATTCTATTAGATTAGATTCCCATCCAAAAGGGTAGGCATTAGTAAATCTTCAACTGTGATTTCCATCATAGGTTGAAGATTCATATGGCACGCCCCACTAGAAAGGATGGTTGAGAGGAATTGACGATCCATCTCTAACCTTCCATTGTAAATGATTAAGAATAATATACTTGTTCTTTATGTTTCTTTTTCAAATCCAAGAAAAATTGTAAGGCTCCTTTATGATATTTGCTTGTGATAAGTCAGTACATTTAATTTTTAAGGTTACTAAAAAGCAGAGGGGGGAGAAGAAGTAATAATTCTCCAAAGCTGTTTAGTTATCAATAGAGCCAAAAAAATAGGCTGATGTTGGCCCATTTAAAATGAGGGTTGGGTTTGTGATTTGGGGCCTTCAAAGGTGAGTTGGGCTTAAAAAGGCCAACCTTGTTGGGCTAAAAAATAAAAAGGCTAGTGTTGTAGGGCCAAGGGCGGCTCGAGACTTGTGTCAACCGAGTCACGGTCGCGTTTTCACTTTGGTATCGACAATGATCCTTCCGCAGGTTCACCTACAGAAACATTGTTACAAATTCTCCTTCTTCTAAATGATAAGGTTCAATGGACTTCTCACGATGTCGCCGGTAACGAACCGCCCACGTCGCCGTGATCCGAACACTTCACTGGACCATTCAATCGATATGAGTGACGGGCGGTGTGTACAAAGGGTAGGGCAAGCCCATTTAAGCCCACCTTTTAATATTATTTTTTCTTTTAGAATTTGGAAGCAATCTAGTAATATGAATAGTATAATTATATTTATTTTTTAACCTAAAAAAGAAAGCCCTATGATTGAAATTAAAAAAAAAACACTCACTCACAGTAAATCACTTAGTATATTTTAAGAAAATGGATAAAATTACAATTTTAAACTTCTGTTATTATGGGGATTAATAATTTATGTAAGTCACTTTTTGCAAAGAAAATTATTATACCTGAAGAATTAATATAAATGGAAAATAAAACCATTATAATCAATTAATATCATTCTAAAAGTTGTCATTTTGAATAAAAATGAATATTATCTTATTGAGCATGATCTACAGTCATTTTTCTTGATTAGTATTTGTTGTACTATGAAAATGAGAAATATTAAAGAGATTTAGAATGAAAGAGGGGAGTAAGATAAGGAAGAAATTGAGAGAAAGAGTAGTGTAGTCTTATTCATTTGGATGATCAAAATGTGTATTACATAGCCTTCCATTTATAGGCTCCCAAACTTAACCAAGAGTTGCACAAAATAAATAACAATATTAATTCACATAAGTGTGGTACATGTAACCTTTGAGTTATGGAATAAAAACTCCTAAAAGCTATTCAATGGAGAGGTTACAGAGTGTAGAATATGGAAGGTCAAGAGTTGAGAGAATTTATGGATATCCACATATTCTAATATTTATAACGCTCCCCCTTAGATGTCCATAAACAGATATTGTGCCTCATTAAAACTTTACTAGGAAAAACTCGGTGGAACAAAAACCTAGTGAATGGAAAAGAGTACACAATATATATGAAGGCTACCTCATTAAAAACCTTAACCAGGAAAACCTTGTGGGGCAAAATCTTGGTTAAGGAAAAGAGTACAACATAATTTTTACTCCTGTTGATGACAACATCACTCTTTATAAATCTATCTCAATAGAGCATATTAATTTTTCAAGTAGATTATTCCAATGCTTTGTTCGAGCATGTCTTCCATTTAGCTTAAATGTATTCCTCTAACAATATCTATGATTTTTTTTGTTATGGTATTCCTTGATTTTATTATAAAGAAAATTTTTAATTTAAAATTAAAAGATAATTTACTTCTTCAAGTAAAAAAGAAAAAGTAACATGTGATTAGCATAATAAAAGAATTCTTTTTACAAATTACATTTTTATTAAAAAGTTAAAAAGAACATGAAAAAAAAGAGAAAATTAACTTTAAAGAAATTTACTATGAAAAAACAGAACTCAAATTAAATCACATATATCTCAAGAGGTAGCATCATAGAGGCTAATTTCTTTGTTTTTTTTTGCACAAAATGTTTTTAATAAGTAATTTTGTCATTTTGTTATTATTTCTTTAAAAATATGTAAAAACCACAGGTTAGCCTGAGCCGGTGAGCTCAAGGGCTGGGCTTCATAGAAGTCCCTATTTTTAGAACATGGGCCTAAACAGGCCGGTGACATGGCCGGTGAAGGATCAACCCTACTTGTTTTCCCAATTTTAGCTATCAAAGCCTTATTAACCAAGTAAGCTGATCAAATGCCAATGCCTCCTTTGTCAATAGGTAAGAAGAGTTTCTCTTTTCCAAGCAAATGAATCTTCTTTTTATCTCTATGTGATTGCCAGAAAAAATCAAGGCAATGAGAATCAATGTCACAAATATGCTTAAGTAACGAGATGCAAGACATGATATGACCATCAATGTCAGACCTCCTTTATTATCTTATTATATGTTCATTGAACCAACTAAAGTCATTTCCCAAAGCTTAAGAATGGAAAAATTTCAATTTTAAAATTTCCAATTTTGGGATTTCCATACATTGTTCACAGGATTTTGGGCCAACTTTGAAAATTCATAACTATATGTAGAAAAATGGAAACTGAGTGATCCCAATTTCTATGTGAAGCTTATTATGAGTGATTTAAGGGAAAAATACTCACTAGCTTGACATCCATCTGAAACAGAGCCAGAAAATTCAACAAGTTGTACTATTTATTTGGTCAATTTTCAAATTTTCAGTATTTTAGTTCAATTTTGGAAGGGCATATCTCTTAGCACAAAACTCCAAATTTAGTAACTTACCACTTGTTTTGAAGCTAAAAATGAGATCTAAAAGCATGCCAAATTACAGATCCAAACTCATCCGATTGCTCAAAACATCATTGGTCAAACTTGACCCTAAAAAGTCAACATATATCCATTTTAAGTAACCATTTTGGTTTTTCCTTTCCTTTTCCCTCCCAACCGTCATGCCATTCATTGTCACATTACTAAAACTTGAATATTACTCAATATTCACATACATAAAGTTTGGAGTCATTTATACAAGTATTCACCATAATTTGTAACAATTTACATAATACATAACTATTGCTCAATAGATATATAATTCAAATATCTCCCAAAATGATCTACTTTCCTTTGTCCTAGCTTGAGCCAACTCCTGAATAGTGAATTTTGGACATAAAGAGTGAGATTTCATAGAAATCTTAGTAGCAAAGAACTATAATTATCATGCAATTCATGCCTTGAAAAAATATAATATGTGTGCATAAAATCAATACCATTGTGTAACATTTCATGTGCATATCATTTGCCATGTAAAAAGAGCAATTCATTAAGCCATCAAGTCATTCCTTATATATATTGTCAAGGCACATTTAACATATAATTTCATGCATCATCACATATATTGCTCAATTATATAATGGCAACATCTTAACATAACACATACACATTTAAACAAGCAAGAAAGCAATTAAATTATAAGTTCAATGTTACCTCTTGATTGATAATTCAATTTGGCGTCTTTAGGGAATTGGGTGTCCTTCTCTAATCTCTTGCAATGTGCCTATCATTCCAAGCACAAATACATTCCAAATTACCAACCATTCAAGTATAAACACAATAATCTAACATTAGGCTCAATTAAC